CTAGTTTCTCATTCTTTATGGCTGAGTAGTACTCCATTTTATAAAAAAACCACATCTTCTTTATCCAGTTTCCAGTTTATGGGCACTTGGGCTGTTTTCTTCATTGTTTCCTTTGCTGTGTAGATGCTTTTATGTTTGATGCAGTTTCAGTTGTATATTTTTACCATCGTTTCTTGTGGTTTGGGGGTCTTGTCCAAAAAAATTCTTTTACATTCCAGTGTCCTGAAGCATTTTCCCAGTTTTCTTCTAGTAGTTTTGTACTTTCAGATCTTATAATTAAGTCTTTAATCCATTTTGAGTTGACTTTTACCTGGCTAGAGATAGAGGTCTAAGTATTATTATTCTACATATGGATATCAAGATACCATTAGTTTTATTGTTGTCATTACTAAGAATCAAATATGGAGTCCGTGAAATGACCTTCAGGGGTTCTGTAAATCCTCAATGTGGTAAGCAAAATGGGTTGCTTTTGTATTCATTCTTGTGTACAATTTTAGAAAGAGAGTGAACAACTTATATAGATTTTGAAAGAGGTCTTTAACCTCTGCTCCCAACATGGTTAATAAGAAGCAGTGTGAAACTAATCACTGTACTTAATCCAAAACCTCTAGCAGCAGATACCGTAAAAGAAAATTTACTAGACATCTCTTAATAACTCTGTCACATGTTTTTAATGTTGACTGTTAATGATTTTCAAGTTATGGTATTTTGTAATTATGCAGCTTCTTTATAAAGGTAAAGATCACTGCATATATTTTTTCACATTAAAGCCTGCCTTAGATTTAAACCACTATGTAATGTTGGATTTTACTAAGATTAAATTAAATATTCCTCTTTCCAATTTTCAAGGATACTACCCACCACCTCCAACGGTACCAGCTGGTGTGGCTCCCTGTGTTCCTCGCTTTGTGAGGTCCAATAATGTTCCAGAGTCCTCCCTCCCACCTGCTTCCATGCCATATGCTGATCATTACAGTACATTTTCCCCTCGAGATCGAATGAATTCTTCTCCTTACCAACCTCCTCCTCCGCAGCAGTATGGACCAGTTCCCCCAGTACCTTCTGGAATGTATGCTCCTGTGTATGACAGCAGGCGCATCTGGCGCCCACCAATGTACCAACGAGATGACATTATTAGAAGCAATTCTTTACCTCCAATGGATGTGATGCACTCATCTGTTTATCAGACGTCTTTGCGGGAAAGATATAACTCATTAGATGGATATTATTCAGTGGCTTGTCAGCCACCAAGTGAGCCAAGGACGACTGTGCCTTTACCAAGGGTAAGTAGTGGTGGAAATAGAAATGCTACTATAATGTAGTAGTTAAGAACCCTGTGTGTGGAGTCACACTACTCAGACTCCTGGCTTTTCCTGTTGCTATTTGTGGGGCTTAACAGAGGTTACTTAACCTTCCTGTGCCTCAATTATTTTCATCTGTGTGGTGGAAATAATAGTGGCACATACCATTTAAGGCTGATGTAAAAATTAAATTAGAAACACAAAATTCTTAGAATGGGACTTGATGCATATTAATGCTCAATACATGTTATGTTTGGATAGGCAACTGATGAAAAGGTAAAAAGAAATCCCAAAAATACAAGAACAAAAAAAATACAAGATACAAGGCCATTTTCAATATCCTCACAATATACAAAGACTTTTCTAAACTAGAAAAATGTCAGATTTTGGCTAACATCACTGATATGAATAAATATTAACCTGTTTGGTTTAAGTATATAGCATAAACTATACTGACTTCTTGCTGGGGTTTTTTTGGGGGGGTTTGTCCCAACAGTATAAAAACTTACTTCATATTATTTTCTCAGAGCATAGTTAAATTTATTTACCACTCCCTACATGATCAAGACTGTTTCTTTTATCCTCCCTAGGAACCTTGTGGTCATTTAAAGACCAGCTGTGAGGAGCAGATAAGAAGAAAGCCAGACCAGTGGGCACAGTACCACACTCAGAAAGCACCTGTCTCTTCTACTCTTCCTGTGGCAACACAGTCTCCAACACCACCTTCTCCTCTATTCAGTGTAGACTTCCGTACAGAT